TCAGACAGTAAAGGAGAAGAAAGGAAAACAAAATAAAAAATGAAAACATAACCACCACCACAACAAAGAAGAGAGAGGAAAAAGTCCACTTCCAGGTTTATCTCTGCTGTCACCGGTGGACAGTGTCTGGAGACAGAGTCCATGTTGATCTATCACAGCAAGCCTGCAGGAGCTTTTTGGTGGGGTAGTGGATAACCTCAGCAAGCCTGCACCTTCTGCCTGAGACGAGACTTGTTTGGCCTGCTGCCGTCAGCACACCTTCCTCAGGCCTGAGCTCAGGTGGGATCCAATAGATGGAGCCAGCAGCCACTCTGAGTTCTGAGCTCAGCTGGCCCCTCTCCAAGATAGCTCCTGGCTAGTCTTTCTCTTGTGTGGACAACTGAGTCCTCAGCACTTACCCCCAACCTAGTGCAGTCCTTCATGACTGCTGCTCCTTCCACTGCTGTGTCTTTCCATGGAGGCCTCTGGGGTCACCAGCAGTCACTGTGTGTCCATAGGTTTGAATTGCTCCTCTTGCAAAGTGAGTCCCGTATCAGGGGAGAAGGCACTGCTGGCTACTTTCTTTGTTGAAATTTCTCTCTTCAGTCTCTTTGAGGGCTTCAGTTCATGCTTCAGATCCTTCCTGGGTCAGGGGACCCACTTCCCTCCTTCTTGTCTTCTTCACATTGCTATAATCCAGCGTTTGGATGGTGACTCCTAGACAGGCTTTTTCTCTGCTGCGCACCACTGCCCTATCTTGGTGCTTCCTCCCCTGATTCTTAACTGTCGTCGTTTTTGTTGCCACTCTCAGAAGTCTTCAGTTAATACTTAATTTAATTGAAACTTGGTGAAGCCTGGCCTGCAACAGGCCCTGATTTGGTGAAGAACTGATGGAATAAAATCTCTGTGGCAACAGTGTTGTTATTGCACTCCTAGCAGGCAACATGGACATGAAGTGCTTGGTTAAGGAGTGCTGTATTCTGGACATGAGAAATTGGGACCGTGGTGGCACACGCCTGTAATCTCAGCACTTGGGAGGCTGAGGCAGGAGGATCGCTGTGAGTTCAAGGCCAGCCTGAACTGCGTAGCAAGACCCTGTCTCAAAAAAAAAAAAAAAAAAAAGAGAGAGAAATTGGGACCAACAATTCTACAGGAAATGGAGTTGCAAGAATTTCACGCCACAATTTGGGGTTTGGAGAATTATGATTTTCCAGAAGCAGATGACATGTCTGTATTTGAATAAATGTAGATTTGTACATGTGAATAAATGTAGATTCTTGTATATGAGTAAGTGAATAAATGTAAATTGTTACACATGAATAAATGAGTAAAGGTAGATTATTGTACATGAATAAATATAGATTGCTGTACATGAAAAAATAAGTCCCTGAAAATAAACCCCATTGTGTCTTTTGGAGCAAAAATTACTATAAGACCTGGTCTTAATTTTCGGGGAAACTCAGTATCTTATTGAACAGTAAGGAGGGAAATTCTGTAAAGTTAGAAGGATGCACACCTCTGACGCTGACATTCTAGGAGGCTGAGCAGGATCACGCAAATTCAAGCCCGTCCTGGACAATTTATCAGCTCCTGATACCGTTTCAAAAGAAGAAAAAGGGCTGGATATGTAGCTAAATGTGAAGACTGTTCAGTCGCCAGTACTGCAAAAAAAGTAATGACAAATAAATATTAAATGTGCAAATCAGTTTCTTAGGTTCTTGAACATCTTTTGGTTTGTTATTTTAATGGCCTTAAGAGGTATTTGTAATGCCTTTGACGACTTTGCTTTCCTACTCTTGCTTTTTTCCAAAGATCTTAAATATATCATTCATTCATAACGTTCATTGTTATTAAGGGCTTTCGGTATAAGACTGGGGGTAGGTAAAGCAGTGAGCTCACAGGAGAAGGCAAAAAAGAAAAATTTCTGCCTCATGTAGCTTACATATCAATATGTAGGGGGCTCATAGACCACTAATAGTCTCAGTAAATCATGTCAGTTAATAGAAGGATGAGGAGGAAAAAAAGGAGGAAAGACTGCAGTTTTGGATGAGTGAGTAGAGAAGAGCTCCTTGAGAAGGGCACGTGTTATCTGAAAGTGACGCCGGGAGCTGCTGTGTGTTCGCAGCCAGGGAAGAGTGTGCCAGCCCGTGCTGAGAGGCTGAGGTGCAGCAGCAACAGGGACGTCGGCGTGATTATACGTGAGCGTGTCTGTGTGTGTGGGTTTGTATTTGGGTGCCTTGCAGCCCACTTTACTTCTGCGTGATGATGGGGGTCATTGAGGTTTTAAGCAAAATTAAAATTTAGAGACACTACCAGAGTTTTCAGAAGTACCCCCCTGGAATTGTAAGGAAAACACTATAGGTAAAAGGTATTATCAGGTGTTCTTAGTCCTCTGCTGGCCTCAAACTCTCTGCGATCCTCTTGCCTCAGTCTCCCAAATGGCATGTGCCACCATGCCCTGCAGTTCCAAGTGTTTCTATGGAAAAATACTTTATAGTATGCTAATAAGTGCGTATGTCTATAAGGAAAAGTGTATGAGAATGTCAGTTTTCTTTTAAATTTAAAAGAGCCACTTCATATGGAGAGTTTTATGTTTAAGAGTTAGGTAGTGTATGTAAGCTTTGAAAATGAGGGAGGATCTGTTTATGACATGTCCTCTAAAAAAGTAAATTGTGCTGTCATAAATAGATTGCCACTTCTGGTAGGATTCTGTTTCCTCTGATAACACAGTGGTGAAGGAGATCACCTGAAACGTGTGAATCTTATTTCCTCCATGAAAATTCTAATTATTTTATTTAATGAATATGGGATAAAAAATAAATCCTGATCTTTTCCATGAAGTAGTTGCTCTTTCAGATTAACCATGTAATTGTAAAAAACTTGTGGTAAGCAATTTTTTTTCAATTTCATCAAGTGTTAGTAGTAATCATTTTAACTTCGAAATTATTAAATTTTACTTGAGTGGAAGTGTTATATGTAGTTTCTAGGTCAGCTTGGGAAATCTGTTTGCCAGTGTTATGCCCTCAAGCACTTTCTCACTTTTTGCCTCTTCCATCCTCTTTTACTCTCCCTGGGAGGCAGCTGTTTGGGTCCTGTCTCTCATTTTTAATGTCCTGTGTACTGTGTAGACAAGACAGAGTCTGGATAATCTTAGTTGCTAAATTAAACTAGATTAGTGTGAAAGGGTTATGCAGCAATCAGTTTGAACAGTTAACTTTTTTTGGCCAATATTCTTATATTGGATAGTTGATATTTCTTAAACTTGGTTTTCAGAGCCCTTTATTTATTTCAGCTATGTAGCCCTCTGTTCTGAGCAGAGACTTTGTTTACTGTCCCCAGATAATACTTAGTAATATGTAAGTAGGCTGCGTATGTGAGGCCTAAGTCTGCCCCCGGCTTTCACGTGTCTGTTTCTGCTTATGTCATCTCACACTTGTCAGACTTCTTTTGTCCTCCTCCATTTGTCCAAATTCTACCCATATTTCAGGAGCAAAGTCCAGTAATCCTGTTCTATTTACCTTGGCCTAAAATTAGTTTCTCTTCCTTTGGATTTTTATAGGAATCATTGTTGACAGTTGGCCTTTATTCCTAGCTTTGAACATTAATTCACTAGTAATTTGTAAGGTGTCTCGAGAGAAAGAAAACCAGTAGAGGGTGACGGGAGAGAGTCGGATAAATAGACATTTATTGTAAGGAATTGGCGCAGGCAGGAAGAGACGCTGACGAGTTCCTAGATCAGCAAGATGAGCTGGCAGGCTGGTGTGTGGTCCAAAGACTGGCAGGCCGGTCCCAGGCACAGCCAGTGTTTCACTCTGAAGGCAGGTGGAGGGCTCTTTTAGTATTTATTTTGCTGTTCATTAGTGTGCCTTGGCTTACCAGCTAATAAGCATTTTTGAGGACAGGGATGCTAATCATACTTGCTTTTACTGGCTCTTAGTCTGGTTTGTTTTTTTACTGACTATGTGGTAGCCCAGGCTGACCTCAAAGTCACATTGATCCTCCTGCCTCAGCCTGCTGAGTGCTGGGATTATAGGTGTGCACTCCACACCCAACATTATCTATGGGTTCTTACATCCTTACATGTAATAGGTACATTAATATACTGTGTAAAATCATAACATGTTAGAGCTAGAAAGGATTTTTGAAGTTATTTTTATAATTGGAATCAGGAGTAGCTTCAAAGTGGGAAGAGTAATAATATATCTTTTCCCTTGGTGGTTGGAAGAATAAAATGAAATAATGGAGTGGAGTAACAGTCCAGTGCCTGTCATATAGTGAGTACCTCAATGGTTGCTTTACCTTGTGCTAGAAAAAGTATGTCATTTATTAAAATATTTTTCCTTCTTTTTTCCCTTAGGAATAAGAATCAAAATAGTGCAGAGTTCTGTAATGTGAGGAATTAGATAATATTCATGGAGGTTTTACCTCTTTTTCTACCTCTTTTTCTCTTTTTATTTAATAAAAGCAGGCATGTAAAGAAGAATAAACAACAACAAAAAAATAAACAAATAAAAACATGCATGGTACATTAATTGTTCATATTCCCAAGTATTGAACATATTTGGGATTATGTCTTTATTTCCAGAAATGATGTTATTATTTGAGACAGTCTTCCTGTGTATTCCAGGCTGGCCTTGAATTCACTGTGTAGCCCAGGTTGGCCTCAAGCTTGGGGTGATCCTCCTGCCTCAGCCTCCTGGGTGCTTGGATTACAGTAGTGCCCCACCATGCCTGGCTCAAAAAGGGTATTACTTGACACGTTATTGATTCATATATGAGTTCTAATTAAATATTCAAACAGAAGACATTGTAATCAATGGGCCTTTTTAAATTTTTTTATTTTTTTATTTTTTATCAATGGGCCTTTTTGTCTTTTGGATATGGGTATATTAAAGCTGCAGTTGAAATCATAGTATCTAAACACTAGACTACTTCAATTTGAACTTCAAACATATTTTTCTTTAGAAGTCTTCAATGGAAATGAAATTGATTGTTTTCAATTTATATTTTTTTCTTTCTAGAGTTCCTCGTAAGCACATCTTAAAACCTTCAAGATGGTTCTAGCAGATCTTGGAAGAAAAATAACATCAGCATTACGCTCACTGAGCAATGCCACCATTATCAATGAAGAGGTATGTAAAATACTATGAGATATGTATAACTGTACATCCTCATTTGCATTAGTAGATGTTAATAACTATTTTTATATAGATTTAATACTGTACTTATACAGATAAAAATCTGAAGACACAGCATTAATTTTTTTGAGAAATCAATGACAAAATTTTTATGTGTAAAAGTAACATTTCTTTTGAAAATAACTTAAATCTTGACTGATAACGTCATTAGCTTGCGTCTTCTTGGCTAGGCATGTGTTTCTCTGGCTTTTCTTAGTGACAATTAGCATTCTTATGAAAGGCTGCTATTTCCATCTTGATTAATTTGATTCATTTTCTCTGAAATCTGCAGTATTTTGGAGATTGTGTAAAATGACCACTGATATCCAAAATACTCTTCTTCCTGGGTTTATTGTTTTAAGATACTTTTTCTTTGTTCTTTTTTTGCTCCTGGTTACTTTAATGGCTTATTTTCTCTTGTATCTTACTTATGCCTTATTAATTGAAAGGAGATGATATAGTCCACAAGTGTACATTGTATTTGGCAGCAGGAATGGAAAGAGTATTGAATTTCATGTTAGAAGACTTTGGTTATAGTCACACTTTAGCCACTTAGTGCCTGTGTGATATAAATTTGGGCAAGTCAGTCTCAGATTCTTATCAAAGATAGGAAAATAGCAAATGGTTTTAAAGATTAAATGAACTAATAAAACCACTTTCTAACTTGGAGGTTTGAGAAAAATTCTCATACAAAATTTGGTTTCAACACATTAGCAAAGTAATGAGATTAAATAATTTTGAGACCATCTTAAAACTCACTTAAGTCTAACTCTCATTAATAGAAACAAAAAGTTTCACATGTTTACTTATTGGAATATTTTTTTCCTAATTCTTTATCCAAGGTTTTTTGAAGAATTTTTATTGAATAAGAAACCAGAGCTGGGCACAGTAGCACACACCTGTAATCCAAGAGGCTGGGAGGGCAGAGTCAGGAGAATCATAAGTTGGAGGCCAACCTGGACAACTTAGCAAGATCTTGTCCCAGAATGAAATAAAATAGTAAAATAAATTTAAAAATAAGATAAGAAAATAAAACTGGGCTGCTGATGTAGCTTAGTGGGAGAGTGCCTCTAGATTTGATCTGTAGCAACCACCCCCCCCCAAAAAAAGTTTTAAATCATACTCTTGTAATACACAATAAATAAAACAACAGCTTTCCAAAGTTTCTGCTGTTAGGCAGTCCCTATTCTCTTTGCGTTAATAGTAGAGAAAAAGGAGACCTAAGGAGTGCTTGATAAGAAATGGAATCATAGCTCTTTCTTGAATTAGGCAACTTCCTGACTGGTTTTATTCTGCTACCAAAATAACAAAGAGAAACCGCAATAAGGAAAGATCCATTCCAGTTTTATCAGACCCCTTTAATAGTAGAAAAGCCTGAGAAGTATCTGTAGGGCTTATGAAGTGAGTTGAAGGAGAGAATTTATTCAATAAGTATTCAAGGGCCTACATTTTTGCCAGCCTTTTTGCTGGCACCCCTGATAAAGCAGTGAGCAAAATACACAAAAATTTCTCCCTTGTAAAGTTTATATTCAGTCATATAAGCACTTCGGTGTATGAGGGCTAAAGCTTCATATTTTCTTAAGACTTTATGATCTTTTAACCATACCATCTTACAAGCAAACAAACGTAGGATGAAGTCTGATAGACAGTTGTTAGTGTTGGATGGTTTTCTTTCCACCTTTATTCCTTTGCTGTCAGAAGAAATGGTAAGACTGGTCATTTTCTTCTGTTGCATTTTCCTTTATGGTAGTCCAGTTAAGAAAACAGATACTGCGAGTGTGTGTCACTACCTATTAGTGTTAGAGCTCTCCAGCGTCATAGAAAACATTACTGGCACCATCCACTGTATAATAACTTTCTTTACTTGGATATTATTGTGGTAGTACTTTATTGTTTTAATTTTTAAAGATTTTTATTAGTACCCATTTGCAGTACATGATTACTTTCATTGTGGGGAGTTGGAGCACGTACTAATACATCTTAATTCTTTTTCCTTCTCCTCCCCATTTTCTCTCTGTTACTACTTTAATGTAGGAATAAAATTGTAGTGATTAATAGTTGGTAGCATAAAACTATGTGGGATGTCATATTTTGACAAGAGGACTGGATATTAATGTTTTCTCTTAAAAACTAAAGACTTTAATTCCATATTATGGTATTGTTTTTTCTTTTCTTTTCTTTTTTTTTTTTCTGATACCGGGAATCGAACTCACGACCTTGCGCTTGCCAGGCAGGCACTGTGCCGCTGAGCTAAATCCCCAGCTATGGTACTGTTTTTTATCTTTATTAAGTTGTGGTAAAATATATGATAACTGATCACCACTGTTTTTTATATAATTTAAATAATACAATGTTGGATGTGGTGGTGCACCCCAGTAATCACTTGGGAGGCTGAGGCAGGAGAATTGCCATGAGTTCGAGACCAGCCTGGGATGCATAGTGAATTCAAGGCCAGCCTGAATTGCAGAGTGAGACCCTGTCTCAAAAAAAAAATAAAAAATACATTGAGTGCTTTAAAATTTTATTTGTTTATTTACAGGTATTAAATGCTATGCTAAAAGAAGTATGTACAGCATTACTGGAAGCGGATGTTAATATTAAACTAGTGAAGCAACTAAGAGAAAATGTTAAGTAAGTTGAATGAATTGGATAAAAGAACAAGCAGAACTAAGTTTAGTTTATTGGAGGACAAATTTAATTTCAACTGAAAGCCTTGAAAAATTTAAAGTCTTGCATCAGATATTTTATGGTATAGTTCTTTATGGCATAGTCTTTATAAATCTGTAGTAATAATTGGATGTGTTAATACAAGTGGTTGGATAATCTTACATTTTGTGGAACAGAGCTTTTTAAGTGTCCTAACTGACTTTCCTCTTTCCTACCCCAAATACCACTATCATAAAGGTCTGCTATTGATCTTGAAGAGATGGCATCTGGTCTTAACAAAAGAAAAATGATTCAGCATGCTGTATTTAAAGAACTTGTAAAGGTAAAAGTATATCAAGATTGTGCTATGGTTCTCTAGACTCAGGGAATAAAAGTATATCAGAACAGTAAATGAATACTGTGTCAGAATGCTTTTAAACATTCTTAGAACTAAAATATTGAAGAATTATTAATTTTTCTAAAGCAGACTGTTTTTATAGACTTTATTGACTACAGACTTGTGAAGTATATAAAGTGGTACTATCCCTGCAAAAAAGTCAGAGCAAGTTGCGAAGAGAAGAACTTCACTACAGATTGCTAGAAGCGCCTCTCTGAGGTTTTTCTCCCTTAATAGCAACTATTGCCTGATGATAGGCCCACTTTTTTGGTTTTTTTTTTTTTTTGGTTTTTTTTGGTTTTTCTCCGGTACCAGGAACCGAACTCACGACCTTGCGCTTGCCAGGCAGGCGCTTTTGCCGCTGAGCTAAATCCCCAGCCCCAGGCCCACTTTTTTGTATAGGACAATCACACCTGACAAGTATTTTTTATACACTTGTCATTGTATAAAGAGTTCTCTTTATAAAGCCCAAATATCCTACATCTTACCTAGATTATGAGCAATTTTGAATTAGTACGTTTGTTTTCAAGTAGTAAATATAGCCTTTTGCACTGACTCATCTTAGAGCTATTATTGGTGCTATTGTCATGTGAAGTATGGTGAGGATCTTAGAGCTTTTATTTTGTGTTTTTTAATTTTAATTTTATTTTATTTTTCATTTTTTCGAGATGGGGTCTCGCCATGTAGTTCAGGCTGGCCTTGAACTCACTATGTAGCCCCTTGAACTTGGAGCAATCCTCTTGCCTCAGCCTCCCAAGTACTGAAATTACAGGCATGTACCACCACACTCAGCATTAGAGCTTTTAAAATATACATTGAGTAAAAAGAAATAAAAAGAATAAAAGGAATAAAAAGAAAAGGAAGGAATTGTCAGAGAAAAATTTAGAGCAACAGATGTCTTCTAGTGGTTTATTAATATTTTTCCCTACATCATACAAATATTTTCATTTACTTTTTTAGTATCACTGCTGATACGTATTTTGGGAAAGTCCAGTTATCTCAGATAACCGTGTCACTTCAGTTTAGTTTAGTAGGCTAATTAATAAAAAAAAACAAAACTCAGACCTCTAAGAGGTAAAGATTTGTTTAGTTGATGCTGCTTAGTTTGTGGTTGAGAAAAGTTATCTAGTTACCTAGTGACAGACCCACATCTAATCTCCAGACTCTTTATGTGGGACTTATTGAGTTATTTTTAGTAATTGTGTTTGCTGTTTAGTGCCTGAGGGCAGAACAGGATGAGCAGGAATCTTTACTGTTAGCATTGTTCTCTACAGGCAGTTCTTGAGCATCAGGAGCTTCCTGAAGAAGCTTGTTGAGGCCCTGCTTTACTCCAGGCAGTGTGGCAAATGCTGCCGACAGCAGAGATGACTAAGCTAGTCTGTGTACAGAACATGTCTATAGTCTAGAGAAGTGGGGCATGAGAGAGCTAAAATGTTTTTATAATACCAGGACATCATTTGCCTTTTTTTGGTGGTGGTGGTGGTGGTACTGGTGATCAAACTTAAGTTACAAAGAGTAACCCTTTATTACAAATTAGTTGATGGATGAGCCTCTCTGAGGTTTTTCTTTTTTAGTATCAATCATTACCTGATGATAGCCCCACTTTTTTGTGCAGAAAAATCACATCTGACAAGTTTTTTTTATGCTTTTCATTGCATAGAGAAATGGGATGTATACATAAAGTCCTTTGACGCACTGAAATTTCATAATTGCCTTATTGATAGGAAGGCCCATGTGTGACTGCTTAATTGCAAACTGAGATAGCTGCTGCTGTCATACAACCCTTTTTACTTGAACAAGCAGTAGACATACAATCTGTGCTTTTTCGGATTCAGGCATTTGGCAGTCTTCAGAGTGGGGATGGGTTTGGGACAGCATCTCAATATGCAGTTCAGGGTGGCTTTGAACTCACTGTGAAGCCCAGGCTGGCCTTGAACTCACAATGATCCTCCTGCTTCAGCCTCCTGAGTGCTGGGATTACAGATGTGTGCCACCATGCCCACTGGCAGTCATTTTTTTCAAAGTGATATGAACCTGTTACTTTAAGGAAAATAACTGACAGTATTGTGACTAGTGATAAAACTTGAGCTTTCAAATGTAAACTAGGAACTTTTATCTCTACCATGAGTTTGACAGTGTCACAATACTCTTCTGATGAAATTAATATTGACATTAACAAAAGTTTTTTGATGTGGTAGAGTGTCGTTTGTGAACAGTGGGAGATTTGCATAACTGTGACTAGTGTTTTCTAAATGATGGATATGTGAAGTTACAAACTCGTGCAGCAGTGTAAGATCCATGCCAAGTGCAGGAGAGAGTCATAGACTTTAACGTAACAGAGTAGGAAAGCTTATATGGTTTCAGCTCCCACACTGCAGCTAACCTTTACAACTACCCTGATTATAAGGAATCCTCAGACCACAAAATTAAAAACTTTTATTCTAAAGGATAGGGGGAAGAGAAGATAAATTTGTAAGAGTTTTTCATTAAAAATATGCTCAACTAATGGGTCCAGACAGCTGAGTGATTGTGCTATGAGATGAAGACAGTGGGGATGAATGTAGGGAAGTATCAGCATACTGAAGAATCTAGGAGGAAGAGGAGTGGTTGTCCGTTTTAAAACAGATTTTGCTAGCCATGTGTGGTGGCGCACATCTGTAATCCCAGCACTTTGGAGGCTGAGGCAGGAAGATCTCCATGAATTCAAGGCCAGGTTGGGCTACATAGTAAGTTCAAGGCCAGCCAGAACTACATAGTGAGACCCTGTCTCAAAACACACACACACACACACACACACACACACACACACACACACATAGTGAGACCCTGT